CCGCGAAAAGCGTCCGGAGGACCCCCAGACCGTCCGGCCCCTCGCCTTCCCCCGGCGGCGTCCGCGGGGGTTTCGCGCGCATCGCGGCCCAAAAGAGAAGGGCCCCGCGGTAGAATTCCGCGCGGTCGGAGCGTAGAATCGCAGCGACGACGCCCCCCAGGGCCCCCCCCTCCCCCCCCGCGGGGGGGCCCGTCGTCGGCGAAAAAGAGCCGCGCGAAGCGGCGGTGCAGCGCCGGGACTTCGTTCACGGCGGCCCACCGCGCGAGAACCGCCAGGGCGGTGGGAATCGGGACTTCCGCGGCCTTCTCCTCGGCTTTTTCGGCCTTTTCGGGGGGTTCGGCCCCCCGCCGGCGGAGTTCGCGGCGGAGCCGCGCGCGGAGGGGCCCGAGGAGGGCGTCCGTCAGGACGGCGACCAGCGCCGCCGCGGCGTGGGGCTGCGAGGCATCGCAGAGGTCGTTCATGTAGTAGAAGTCGTCCACGAGGTCCTCCAGGGCGGCGTGAGAACCCCCCGGGGGCGGGAAGTCGCCGTCGCCGGCGACTTCCCCCAGCCGGCGCAGCTGGCGGCGGAGGGATTGGGCCAAAAGCCCGTAGACCTCGCCTATCGCGCGGCGAAGAAAGCCCGCGATGGCGTCGTCCTGGAGGTGGGCGATGGTCAGGACGATTTGGCGGGCCGCCGTGCGGAGGATCGGGTCGGCCGCGGCGAAGGCCTGGACGGCCCGGTCAAAGAGCGGAAAGGCGTCGCCGCCGGGCTCGAAGAAGAGCGGGGCCGTCCCCCGGTCCAGCCGGAGCGCCAGCGACTTCAGCAGGGCAATGTACATCGAGGCGAGCTCGTCGTCCGCGGCGTCGGGCGCCAGGGCGATGATGCGGTTCAGGTGGTTATTGCTGAAGGCGAGGTACACCGACGAGACCCGGGTTAAGTTCTGAAAGACGATCGTCAGGGCGTGCAGGACCTGAAGTTTGACCGCCCGGGAGGCGTCCGCGTTGGTGGCGATGCGCTCCAGCGTGTGCATCGGGTCGCGGGCCATCAGGTGGTCGAAGACGTCCTCGTCGAGGCGGTCGGTGTAGACCAACACCGCGGCGAGCTCGCGCAGCGCCCGCAGCATCGCCGGCTCGTCCGCGCGGAGCTCGGCCTCGAGCGCCTCGACCTCGCGGCAGACCCGAAGCGCGCGTTGCAGCGAAAAGCGCGCGCCGGCGGCGGGCGGGGGGGGGGAGCGGAAGGGATTCATCGCCGCCTCAAAAGGCCTTTCAGAGCGTTTGGCGTTGGTTCACAAGCGGGCCGATGGCATCAACGCAGCGACCCGATCGCCGCTTCCTTTGTTAGTCTTTGTGCACCCTACACAGAAACCACACACCCAAAAAAGAAGAAGAAGAAGAAGAAGGGTCATGAAGAGCAATTCAGGACGGTTTTTGTGTAGCTGGGCTCCCAGGCCCAATCCCAGGGGGCCATTCCACGCTTCCCAAGTCAATTTCCCGTCGGTTCGTTATGGGTGAACCCTCTATAAGATGTCGGCCGCGGGCTCAACCTCCGGCGACGCCGTCTTCGCCCGAGGCGACCACAGCCCGCGCGCGCGCAGCAGGCGGAGCAGCATCGCGGCCCGCTCCTTCAGCCCCGCGCGCGAGCGCCGCGCGACGAGCACCGAAGTCCGGCTCGCCATGACGAGGTAGGGGCAGCCGGTCATGAAGAAGTCGACGAAGCCGACGAAGAACATCGGGGCCGACGTCAGCCGGCGGTCCGCGATGACGAAGCGGTCCTCCGCGGCGTGGAAGGCGAGCGAGACGAGGGCGTGGCCCATCGTACTCACCACCACCCCGGCCGCGCCGTCGAGAGGGGCGAGCGCGAGCAGCCCGCGGCCGAGCAGCGGCCCCCCCCCTCCCCCGCGCCCGAAGGCGGCGTCGGGGACGGCCTGCACG